GTGTCCTGTGAGGAGCGGCTGAGGGAGCTGGGACTGTTTAGTCTGGAGAAGAGGAGGCTCAGGGGGGACCTTCTCGCTCTCTACAATTACCTGAAAGGAAGTTGTAGGGAGATGGGGGTCAGTCTCTTCTCCCATGTTATGAATGACAGGACGAGAGGGAATGGCCTCAAGTGACGCCAGGGGAAATTTACGTTAGATATCAGGAAGAATTTCTTTCCAGAGAGGGTTGTGAAGTATTGGAACAGGCTGCCTAGGGAGGTGGTGGAGTCCCCATCCCTGGAGGGGTTTAAAAACCGTGTGGATTTGGTGTTGAGCAACATGGTTTAGGGACCCTGACAGTGCAGGGTGAATGGTTGGACTCCATGATCTTGAAGGTCTCTTCCAATCAGACGATTCTATGATTCAAAAGGCGTGCAACACCACTGCACAGAACACTAGTTTGAAATGCAAGGACACGTTCTAATGTCCCCGGGCTGCTTTCACTGGGATCTTGCAGCCCCAGCCACCCCTCCCTCCATGACCCCACAACCAGGAGCTGCCTGGCGCCTGCTGCTTATACGCAGAGGAACAGTATTCACTACAGAAGTACGAGGCCTCCTAAATCAAACTGAAAACAATAAAACTTTTCCCTACTACTCAGTCCCAGACAAACTATCTAAGGAAAAAGAGGGGGGAAAGTATCAGTACAGAGAGTATTTCGTTACTGAAAGCCCAAACTTGTATGACTCACGCTTAGCTAACCGAATCAATTTTTACATAACTGTAAGAAGGAACAGAAAGAATGATGAGAGGTAAGTCTCAAATTCTACATCTTTCTGCACCTGCAGAAGTTCAATAAGATTATTTCCTCCACAAATTTAGCCATTACCTTTTTCTGTACTGCTCCGACTGTTTTTTCCGGCCGCTCTTGAGTGGAACGAAGCAGAATCATGATTCTGTGCAGGAGGTGCAAACAGCGGTGGAATTCCCAAGAGCGGTGGGAAAAAAGCTGCCCCGTGACGAGAGTGCGTGTCCGCTGTTCGCCACCATTCTGCACCGCAAAGGAAATAAAAACAAACTTCAGTTCTTTTAACAATATATTTGTTTCTGTCAGCATGTTGCTGCAAAGTGCAACACACATTTCAACAACGCTGGTCTCTTAGTAACAAGGAACCGCAACTGTGAATGCCTTGGTTAATATCAATGACTTCCATGATGCAATACAAGGTTTTCAAAAGAGCTAAAAAGGAATAAATACTTATGTAACATCTTAAAATACGAAGCATTGATGCACTAACAAGCAAAAATACAAAAATAACACAGTCTTTCTAACAATGCTAAGGCCATTCCAACTTACACGGTCAATCTAAAAAACTGCTTATGGTGACAGAAATGACTGTGTATTTTTTCTCCTTTCTGTGTTGTTCTTTAATCATTACAGTGCTAGCAAAGTCTGCCTTCCACGTGCCTCCTAACACCAGTAAGTGTTCCAAACTCCTTGTATGCATGATTCCAAACCACCTGTATGCATGACTTCATAGTACTGGTGAATGTCCCTCAGTGTAAAAAGCTGGAAAGCATGGAAAAGGCTGGAAATGGTTACATAAGTAACAACTATCCACTCTTACCATTGTTTTCAAAAACAAAAACCCTCTTCTGAATAGGATAACATCAAAAATATCTTAGTTTAAGTGAAACACAATGCATTAGCTATCTCATTAAAGTACTTTAAACCCCCCTCACCCCAAAAAATAGCAATTTAATAATCTCTGAACATGCTCTCACAGAAGCAAGTACAGAAGTAATAAACATGAACACAACCGCACACACTCCATCTTTAACTTTCCTTCATAAATCACACGTTAAGAGAAGCTAGTCTTGGACTAATTTCCTAAAAAAAACGACGTTTTCAAAGGGGATTGACAAAACTGCACTCTACTGAGAAAGCTGATACATAGTTTGGGTACAAACACTGCAGATGATTGACTTTGAGGAGTAAGAATACAAGGAACATACACAGAGCACTGACCTACTACGCCATATTTTAAAAAGCACCAATCACACGGCAACTCTCAATTAGGCTTGTTTTACTATAAGAACTACTAGGTGCTTGATGTGGTTTTAAATTAAATTATTTAGGTCCTCAAATACAATGGATTGAGAGCAGCCCTGAGGAGAAGGACTTGGAGGTGCTGGTTGATGAGAAGCTCAACATGAGCCGGCACCATGCGCTGGCAGCAGAGACGCTGGGGCTGCCCCATCCCTGGAAGTGTTCCAGGCCAGGTTGGATGGGGCTTTGAGCAACCTGGTGTAGTGGAGGGTGTCCCCACCCATGGCAGGGGGTTGGAACTGGATGGTCTTTGAAGTCCCTTCCAGCCCAAACCACTCTATGATTCTATAATGGCTTCCTTTAATCTCCAACATGCAAAAAGCAATGCACTGAAATTGCTCTTCTTTCAACATGGTTTCTACTAAGTCCATTTCTTACAAATAAAGATAAAATTCCATGACCAAACAATACTCATCCCATTGTTACATCAAATTCTTCTCTCATCTGTGTAGTCCTTATAGCAAATATTAGATGAGACACAATTTTAAAACATGGAAGTATTTCAGTTATGCCTATTAAAGTACTTTCTTCATCCCTCCTTTTTTCCCTTCATATTTTTGCTTTTACAGTCCTCAGTAACCTTGGGGAAAAAAAAAAAAAAAAATTATTTATTTGTTTGTTTATTATAAGCAAATCTATTTTCAGAAGTCAGCTTCTGGCCTATAAAGGTAATAATATGAAGCAAAAAGTCTGAAAGAGGCTGATATCATGTTTAAAGAATTATTGACAATAATGAAATTAGAGACTGCTTCTTAACGATACATATGCAAGACACTAAAATTAAGATGTACTGACCATCTTAACATCAATTTCCAAAAACTGAGAACTTATGATGTAGATTGTATAACACTCTGGGTACTCTGTTAGTATCAGAACTGGCAATTGTACTCTACTCCTGTTCACATCATTGTACTTAGAATCATAGAATCATAGAATGGTTAGGGCTGGAAGGGACCTTCAAAGGTCATCTAGTCCAACCCCCCTGCAAGGAACAGGGATATCTCCAACTAGATCAGGTTGCTCAGGGCCTCGTCCAACCTGGCCTTGAACATCTCCAGGGATGGAGCATCCACCACCTCTCTGGGCAACCTGTTCCAGTGTTCTACCACTCTCATGGTAAAAAATTTTTTCCTAATATCCAATCTGAATCTACCTCCCTCTATTTTAAAACCATTACCCCTTGTCCTATCACAACAGGCCCTCCTGAACAGCCTCTCCCCATCTTTCCTGTAGGCCCCCTTGAGGTACTGGAAGACCGCTATGTAAGCATGTGCATCACTTTAACATTACTACCACAATCTCCCTCAAAATTTGAAACAGTTGTACATTCCGCAAACTGTAAATCACCGCTTCATTTTTACATATCCATTTCACTTTTCCTATTGTCGCTTAGCGTTCAGAATCCTTAAAATCTCCAGAAGTCAAGAAATACCTACAAGCCTTAAATGAAAATTTTGACAAAACCAAGGACTTTAAAAGACGCTTACCATAAAAGAAATTTGTTTATATGGCTTTACATTTTAGCACTAAATCTGATCTTTCTCAATATTTATTTCAGAAGCTCCAAGACAAAAAAATAGCTGGTGTTAAACAAACAAACAAACAAACTCTGTTACTATAAACTGGAAAATCAAGGGGAAAATCGCAGTATTTTCCAATAAAAGCAATTCTGTAACTTTGTGCATTTATGTCCACAATTTTAAAATTATTCTGGGTCTCATTTAAGGAGAAATAGCGGAGTCCAAAACGACTGGAGATTTTTGCTTTGTTGGAAGCAGTTTCTGGTTTGGAAAAAAATATTTTTTCTAATAATTATTATTATTATTGTTATTTCAGTTTTATAAAAAGTTAATGAACTTCATTTTTTTGAAAATTAAAAATAAAGAACCCTTCAGGTCTGATAATATCAAAACGGTAAGACTCAACTGTCCAGCTTTGAACAGTTTCACAGGGGCTGGTATTGTTGCCTCTCATTAAGACAAAACACTGAATTATGACATCATTTACTCATGTGAGGAAAGGCTGTTGATCTATCTTCCTCCAAAGTTGCTAATACTCTCTCGAGGATGAATTTAAACCTCTTTCCAGAGTCAATTTTCTTTTCCAGTGCACCTTTTTATTTTCAGCAATGGGTGAATAAGAAGAAAGCAAGTAAAGTATCTGTTTACTTGATTGTAATGCTTCAATTATTCATGAACAAGTGCTGTATTAACCAATTAAACTAACAGTATGTGATATATTCCATTATGGTTTCACCCAGGTGCTTTGTCTATTTGACCCGGGAATATGCCAAAATAATTTAGTTGTGGTGTAATCTCCCTGGCAAAGCATAAAGACTCCCAGTCCTAACTCACCATGCGTCGTGGGGACTTGACAGCATATGCAATCAAGTTTATTGCAGAGACTACTTAATAGACTATTGATTGCTGCAAAGAAAATAAATAGATGAAGAAAAAGAATAAAAAGACTCTTTCTGATCTAATGCATAGATTAAGATGCCTTTACCTTCTCTTAGTAAGAATAATTGTTCATTCTTAAACAATTATTTTATTCCATGCTAGAGAACTGCATTTTTAAATGTGAAGATAATTGAATTATCATACAGATTGACAGACATTGTCATAATTAATTTTTTTTCACAAATATCACATAAATGAATAGTATCTCAGTTTAGGAACAGGCTACTAGTCTACCTTGAACATAGAATATCTTCTAAATTCCATAAAGTTTTTACTCAATGAAATTGCCGTTCCAGCCATAGGTCATTCATGGGAAAATAATCTTTGGCTGGTTGACAGCTGAAACACTTCTGTGAAGTTCCTCTAGGACAGCATATACCTTTCCAGAGTGGATGGAACAGGAGCCCTAATGTACTGTGTCAGGTAGAGAAATAGATATACTCATAAATAAAACTGATGGGACAGTACTGATAGTAAACTACATTCCAGCTTGTTTTTAGATATACAAAGTGTCCTTGAGAAAATACATCCATTCTTAAAGATCAGATGCAGCCAGGCAAAGGATCTGACCATTAAAAAAAAATAAAAGGAAACAACCTGTTAAAGACTGGGAATTATTATCAGTCTTTCTAACTATTAGCTATCAGATGGAAATTTTTAAAACTACTTAAGAAAGAAACTGACAGTCTAGTGTGTTTATTATATTATTCACCTGCTTTAGTCTTACTGTATTTAGTCTGTATTTTGATAGACCAATTATATATCCTATATATACAGAATGTTACAGGAGACACAAAATTACACGCAGTAATACCGATAAAGCAAAGGTAGCAAGCAGAGGTAAATGAACTCCTACTACATCTGGGAACCACCACAGAGATCCATTTCAAATGGCATGGGCTAATGAACATAGACATAAAAGTTTTTTGAAGCTGAATTTGTAGGGAGGTACTGAAAAATAAAACACAGTGTTATTTTTTCTGGATCAGTTCTAGTGAAGAACCTTTCTGGCTGATTTTAGAGTAAGTAAAATAAATAGTTGAGACATAATTCTAGGTATGTGGACATTCTGGTTTCTATTTTTCTTTGCAAGGAAGTTGCAAATGAACAAACACAGGCTTTAGCAGGACCCTCAGAATCTACTGTTCTATAGGATCAGGGCAGAAGAGTTTTTCAGTTTGGAGAATACACACTTTCTTATTCTACTGCAAGAACCAAGTTTGTTCTGAAAGTAGTGGATTACTGTGAATTTAAGCTGAAAAACTGTCTATTTACTGTACATCTCTTAAGAATCAGTAGTACTCAGACTAACAAAAAGAACGTATACAATCTGTTCTCCAAACTGAAGAAACAGCACGGAAGTTATTTGCCATTTCTTGTTCTGTTCATTACATATGCACCACTCAGCCAAAACACGAGATTCATTCAAAAAAATGAGATTCTTGCATTGAGAAATCTTCCATGTAAGTTTCTGATTCAAGCCAAGATGTTTCACTCTAGTCAAGACTATGGCACTTCGAAATTCACTTTTTCAAGCTCCAGTTCCGTTACAAGAAACTTTTCCTCCAGATATAAAACTACAGTAGGGGTTGGTCTTGAATGGTGAGAACACGACGTATGTTCAAGAAGTTGATTGTTAGATTTTGATCTGAAAGTGGCACAGAGTTTGCTAGATCAATCCTTAACTTGATCCTTGCTTCCCTGGCAGCTTTGCAAACTCAAAATTTGTTTTACGTTTGAAATAGGCAATTTAAAATTAATTCTATTTCTTGAATAAACAAGGACTACACAAAATGTACTCACATGAAATGAATACTGCTTAGCAAAAAAAAAGAAACCAACCGAAACATTTTTCTCCGATGCATCTGTGTAACCTTATTATACTTGACTTGCAATAATAACTACAAGCATTGACAAACACTAAAATTGCATTGCAATACATAATAGTCATTTTTACCACAGGTGTTGATTGTGGAACTCAGCGACGCAGCTCCAGTAGAAAGGCTGCCTTTCGATACTGCTGGAGCTACCGACGGTGCAGAAGACACTGGAGTGGAAGCAGCTGCAGTAGAGGAGATTGATGATGACGTTAACCGCTCTCCAGACTCCATATCTGTAAGAGAGAAGATAAATGTCTGTTTACTACGGCAGAAAATGGAATCGCGAGGGGCCTACAGGAGCATCTGTGCTGACCATGTCTCAGGGTCTGCACTTGATTCTCGAGTAGTTCCTACAAGGCCTTCACACGAGAGGTACGTCACATGAACAGCACTCCGTCACCGGAGGAATCCGGCACAACGGCAGCAGTAAGGGAATTAGGTAGTGCTGCTGAGAGATGTGTCACATTTCAACTTGAACGCCAACAGCCTCACCTGGGACCATCACCCACACCCTCCACTCAGCAGCTCCATTTCAGCCCAGACTGGCACCTTCAGCCCTTGCCCCAGGCAGGTCGCAGCTCTGGAGCCTGGTTGGTGCCCACGCCTCCTGCCCAGCTCCCATCTCTCGTGGTACACACCTTCCCTTCAGACCTGCATGGGCTCCTGTCTGCTGCTTTCCTGATCAAACTACTCAGCAGACCCTGGGCCTGACAGATTCCTTTATTTTGCCTAGAGTCTGTGACCAGCACAGTGTTCAGATGCTGTGGAACCGCGCAGGGGTCGGGAAAAGCACTGCTTGCATCACCCTGGGCTGCCAGCTTGCCCCTCCGTGCAGAGCAGCCCTGCTCGTGCCGCTCCCTGGCAGACCCCAGCCTTCCACAGCCTGCACTGCACGCCAAAAAGTCTGTATCT